GGGTGGATGGGGGATGGATGGATAAGGGATGGATGGGGGATGGATGGGGGATGGGTTGATGGGTGGATGGGGTATGGATGGGTGATTGTGTGGGTGGGTGGATGATGATGATGATGATGATGAATAAAGCCATAGGTGTGGACAGTATACAAAATGATCATATAGAGTGAGTGGAGAGAGCTCCCAGGGACACACTTACAGTAGCACCAACATTTGGAAAATTGTGGCCATTCCTTGAAAAATTGCTACAAAAAGGGCTGCATAAACATGGCATTCATACAGCCGTTAATGAGACTATAGAGAGATGTTTGCATTCTGATGCTTTAGCCTCCCAGACAGGGTGTCTCCAATATAATCCATAAGGCAGGGTAAAGTTGTTTTTTTAAAAAAAAAAAAGCAAAAGTAAGAATAGGCTTAATTTATCTAAATGTGTACACAGAAATGAGAGATGAGGGCTGGGTCAGAGGTGAGGGAGCTGATGTGTTCCCACCCACCAGTGGCTCTCCAGCCGGAGTTGCCAGGGGAGGAGTGGCCTAGGCTTCCGGTTGCTTGTCCAGGCTGGAAGCAATAGGAAGCAGATCCGAGTCTCTCCCTCGGGTAATGTTGCACCAAGCTGTGTGCACACTGTCCCCTCCTCACTCCCAAGACCATCTCTGTCATCACTGTCTGTGTCTGTAAACGGAGCCATCTGTTGCTGTAAAGAAATATGGATATGAAGTTAAGCTGTCGAGGCGGCCGTTCCAGAAAGGCTGAGAAAGACGGGCCTTGGGCAGCACTGCTCAGACCCACCGTTGTTCTCTCCCGGCTTCCGCCCTGAGCTCTGAGCAGCGCTGGGCTGGGCTTTGCAGAACCTTCCTCTGTTCACACACACTGTATTCAGGGACAGAGGATGGGGGGTTCCTCACTTCACACTGTGTATACAGGAATAGAGGATGGGGGGTTCCCCAATTCACACTGTGTGTACAGGGACAGAGGATGGGGGGTTCCCCAGTTCACACTG